TTTTTTTTTTCCCCTTTTTTTTTTTTTTTTTTTTTTAATACTGGTGGATTAATGGATTATGCAAAGGGAGATGGTTAGATTTTTATTCACGTTTTTTTTTATGAATAACTTTCGCCAATTCCACTAGAGTATAAGCTTACCATATAAAAATAATACTTCAAGATCTATTATATGTCAAAGTACTTTTGATTTTCTTAACATTTGTTATTTTGACACAAATCTTTTTAGTTCTTAAAAAGAAACCGTTCAAGAAGGTTCGATTGGTTCAAATGAATTTCTAAATTCACAAATTTATTGATATCAAGTATGTAAAAAGAACCACATACATTATTTATGATAAAGAAATAAAATTATAAAAACTCCTTTGTCTTGGGTACACAATTTTTTTTTATAAGCGTTGTTATTTTAAAAATAAAATATATGAATAGTTGATATAACAATATTAAATTAATAAAAAAATTCAAAGCATATTAATAAAAAACATAATTCAAGTAAGTTACACGATCCTCCTCAACGTGTTTTCATTAGGTTGAACAATAATCATAATAGCCTTATTGAAGATAGTATTAAATATATTTTTTTCAATATATAACATATCAAATATGTGGACCATATAGGCCTTGCATAGGAAAAATAAGATAGAACATGAAGATTAACACGGATAAATATGACTTCTTTTTAAAGAGTATTTGTCCTTTTCTTTTAGAGCAAGTATTAGGACAAATTTTACTCTATAGTTTGAATGAGAAAATTAATATATTAAAAACTTCATCATTTTGTGCCATCAGAGAAGGTCTAGTTATAACTTGGGCTTTCTCCAACCTTGTATGAAGACTATAAAAAAAATTGCACATGTTATTTATCAATCCACACAATATTATGGAGGCAAAAATCACAGAGGTATATATATATCCACCAAATACTATGAGTTTTTCAATGGAAACAATACTGCTTTCTGCTCACATTTCTAAAGTTTAAGTCTAACACCACCAATTATACATACTTCTCCTTCTTTTGCACTACTCCAGTGCTGCTGTTAAGGCGCTACAGTAGGCTGGCAAATGAAGCAACAAATTATACTTTTGAGGCACACCTCTATCAATATGTTCATCAAACTACATGTTAGTACCTGGAACACTCTATGAATAATATGCTTCTCTCACTAAATTCTGGACAAACAGTAGTGATACCAATATTAGTACAAACTGCAGCAAATATTAAGGACAAAGTGATAACAAAGATCCCATCCTGAGGTTACCCGTTTCATGCCAATGCTTCTCTGCCTCCTCTCCTACTATTTACAATCCCGATAAGTCTGCTCTTCTTTACTGGCTTACTCAGTTGAAATACAGGATGCCTGCATAGCTTTTGCATTCCCTTCCTTAAACTAAGTCTAAACACTGTGTTCTCAGCCTCCCCAGTGTCAAATCCCTCTCTAAACCTACTCTCTAGTGTTTGTCTTTTGTGAGTAACGTCTGGAGAGGTCTTCACAACGGAATCACATTCCTCTCCAGCATCACTTGTAGTACTCCTACAGTTCCAGAATTGCTCCCCTGACTCGCATTCTGTACTGTCTAAAGTGGCACTTCTTGAGAGTTCACCAGCAGTTTGTTTTTTGTGAGAGTAGCCATCCAGAGCTGGCTCTTTAGTAAGTACTCCATTTGATTGTGTTGAGAGATAATCTACCATGCAACTGGAAATGTTAGCACGTGGTGACTGCATTTGGCATGTCACATGTGATTCTTCTCTTTCATGAAGGGTCTTTATAACAAGCGTCTTAAGGAGGTTCATTACTTGGACTGCATGAATTAGTGCAGTCAAAGGATCAACCATCTGCAAGAGATTTGCTATCCCATTATTAGTATATATGAAACACAATCACCTGAAAGCATACCATATCGTTCCCAATTTAGACATCTGGGTTAAGCTAAACAACCCTTTAAACTTAGTTTCCATCAAACATGCATTCGAGAAGGAGAACATTATGTAATAGATACACTTCTGAGAAGTTCTCAAGTACCTGAGTCATGTTAGGAGCAAACACCATGGCAATATTCCTTGCATTCATCTTGTTATAACGCTCATTATGCACAATGTCTGCCATTAAATTGATTGCCCAGTCAAGCAGTGCAGCTTCAGTTGGAGGAAGTAAGTTCACTAGTTGGGTGCACTCTTCTTCAGTGTTGCAATTCATCACCTGCTCTGGGGTTAGAGAATCTAGTACACCAGTAGGCAGCTCCCTAAACCAGGCCTGAAAGCATAAAGTGTTGGCTCATCAATTATATAAGAATAGTAAAGACTATATTTCTGGGCCAAGTAGATCGTCACTGAATTAAGGGTTACATAGCTATTTAAGGGGTCCATCTGAAAACAAAAACAAAGTGTCCATAGAAAACTCTTTTGGTGTACTTTTCCAGCCCCTGAGAGACGTATATAATACAAGGGGAACTTCTCTCAAGAAATAAAGGCAGTTCAGAGATAGATTACTAGTTTTGTAACCAAAAGACAAACACAACAACCACGAATTGAATTTACCAACCTGAGCACAGAACGACAAGCCATACTACAAAACCTCTCTATGACAGAAGTTCAATAAGCTTTAACTATCTTGACTAGTATAAACTTATATAGTATCTTGTCCCAAGCAATACATAGTGCATTTACCTCATGTACAGAAAGAGTTGGAACTGAGAAACTAAGACCTAAGATATTCTTCTTTGGACAATAATAGCACGGAAAGCACTTTGAATGCTCATCTTTGTTGTTGACCAATTTCATAGTTTTTTCACTTTCAAAGATTGCACAAGAAGGATGTACTAAAGAAAAGGCTGAAATGCATGTTACGTTTTCAACACATTTACTTGATTTTCCATTCTTGCTCAAACCCAGAACTTGTATACCAAATCTTTGATGCTGCCAATTGTTTTTTCTAATCGATCCTGTAATGAACTCCAGAGGTAAAATGGATTTTCCATACACCATTTAGCATAACATATGAGACAATAGACTGGGAAAGTACTTTGACAGGCTAGGCATAGCAAAGGTGGGTATTTGAAACTGGAATTCAGAGCTTCAAAATCTTGCTAGCATCTATTCTAATTGTTAGTTACAACTTGTAAAACTCAGTAACAAATGGAGATGGATGAATATGTTAAAGCTACCTTAATCAATCCTGCCAAACAATGAACATCAATTCCATATGGAACTACGCCTTTACTATTCAGCTGGTTCCTCACAGTTTCTCCTTGACTATTTTCAGCATTAATCCGGAATATTCCTTCTACCTTCAACCAAATGCAGAAAAGACTGCAAGTTTCAGCATATTTAATGCCAATAGCCATATTTTAGATTTTTCAAGTACAGAGAAAGAACAATACTTGTAGGCCTCCTTCAGTATACAGACGACTCTGCAGCTCAAGAAGTATTGTTGGCACACTGTTTCCTCTTTGGTCATATGAACATTGCATTGACTGGACAGAAACTCCAAAAACACTTGCACTGCAAAATACAATTAAAATGAGAGAATTAAATGTTTTCAGCATAAAGAATCAGCACAAAAAAATGAGCAAGACGATAGGAATAGTCAGGTGAACATGTACAACCAACAGTAGCTGAAACAATAAAAATCACCAAATAGCAGTTTCTAATGTTAATTTAAGAGCCCTGATGATAGTAGAACAATTCCTTTCCTAACAATGGACAATTCTCTATGCTGATGTAATAGATAAGAAGGAAGACAGATTCAGCATTTGATTTTCGCCCAGCATTAGATCTAAATACATCTGAACTATCACTTTTCACAAGTAAACTCAAACAGCATTTATGTACTCAATGTCAAACTCATTGAGACTATCTATATGAATCATTTGCATCGATTCCACTCTGTTCAGTCCAAATTTCATAAACAATTTGCTAGCAGGCTGTAAGCTAGATAAATCAAATGAGAATGTAGTTTTCCATAGAAGAGAAACTTCCCAGATCTGGGTAAGATAAACTCACCTCCTTAAACATTAATATTTCAATTAAATAAGAAATTGAAGAGGAGGAAATTAAAGAGGAACCTTGCGCTAGGGACTTTACAGGGAACTTCAGGCTCAAGCTCAATAGGCAAGCCAAGGAAGCCATTGAAGCGATCAAATGTAACATGAGAAACGTGACAGACATCGGTGGGCCATCCAATGTCCATGTTAGCTACATCATCTCTATCCACACTGCAAGTGACCAACGACTTCCGGAGCGCCGTCACCAAAACCGCCAGAATTGGTGATTGGTTATTGTCATGGCTCTGACGTCCCCGCTCATCACCGGAAACCCGACTCCGTCGCTTTGGGTCCAGACTTAAAAATCCCTCTTCCCCTTCTTCTTCTTCTTCTTCTTCTTCTTTATTTACTTGTTCGTAATCATAGAGAGAGGAACAATGAGGAGACAAGTCTAGAACTGATGAAGAGTTGGAAGCAGAAACCCGGCCAAAAGTATACGACTTAGATCGCAAAAGACGAGTCATAATTGGGAATTACGTACCAATTTCCTGCAAACAAGTTGATTTAACGAGGCTATATAATAATGAGATGGGAAAGAGAATAATATACATGCATTATAAAATTTATGATTTTATGATGATGGAACTGACAAATGGAAATTGATTGTGAATGAGAAGAAGATAGAGTGAGGGAGGGGGGAAAATAATGGACATGAAAGTGAGCGTATAGGAATAGTTGTAATGACAGCGATAGGGGTTGGGGACACAATACATTATTATAATGCTCTGTCTTTTTGGATCTTTGTGTCTTCCGCTCGTGAAGTGACTTACCTGGAAATGGCAGCTACATATTAAACCCTTTTTGCTTTGAACCGACGGTGACCGCCGTACTAAGCTGCCGGAGAAGACACGCACTATTGCTATGCTGCAAGATAATTTATTTCTTAGAAAAATAAACTAGTCTGAAATTTTCGGAATTATAATAGGTTTCACAAGTTTATAAACATATATATTTATTTAATTTTCTAATATAAATATAGAATTTATGAATGTCCGAACTTATGAACCTCACCTAGCTCCGCTTCAACTCTCAGTTGCACTTCATGTATAGTTTTCGAAAGCTTGAAAAATAATTTGTAATGAGTAATTAATATTAAAAAATCAAATTAAAATATTTGATTATGTTAAATAAAAAATAAATACTATAGTAAAACAAAGTGTCGCCAGAAAATGTCAGGTGAGGTGGGGTGGGTTAATAAGGCATATACTCCCTCCATCCCTAATTACTTATCCACTTTTTCTTTTATAGTTATCCCTAATTACTTGTCAATTTTGATAAATCAAGAAAGAATAATTTTTTTTATCTATTATATTCTCAATTAAATGATTAATTACTTTTAAAAATATAAAAAAATTCATCAATTTCATAATTAATAGAGGTAAAATGGTAAACTCACTATGTTATTAAAAAGTTGACAGGTATAATTTACATAAACCAGCTCAGATATCTAGGAAATGTGAACGCCGTGAATAATATAAATGAGTGGTGACCCATTGACTGATCATATAACCAACTGCGGTTGAACTAAATGCTTTGCACCATAAATTACTCCCGCCATTTTAATTTATCAATTTTAACTTGATATGATTATAAAAATTAAAACTTTTATATCTTATAATTTTAAATTAAAGATACGCAGAAAAAATCAATAATATTCTTTAATGTAATAACTTTTAATACGTCACGTGAAAATTTGAAATTGAAAAGTTGTTAAAAATATAAAAATATTTTTCCTTTCATTCAATTTTATGTGACATTCTTTCCTTTTTAGTCGATCTCAAGAAAAATATTATAGAAACAATTCAACTTTCAATTTACTATCAAATACATATCTATAGATTATTTTTATTTATAAAATATGAAAAGAATAAAGATTTTCAAATAAATTAATTAAAAAGAGAAATAAGTCAAACATATTAAAACGAAAAGAATAATTAATGAGACAGAGAGGCTAGGTGAACGAGTAGGGACTATGGAATACTTATGGACGGAATCATAGCATTAATCGCACCTTCGAATAATTAATATACTTCATACCTTGCTATCACTTACTCTACTTATTAGTAGTGTGTACTGTGTACTCCTCTACCATGTACTATAACAAATACATTTATTTTGTGTAATGTTTAATTTCTTCTGCCAACCTAATTTCTAAGGTTTAAGTAGAGGGAAATAAATTATTTTTTAATTTTTGTCTTTATTACGTTGAATTTTGATCTTCAAGATTTGTACATTTTTATTGATGACTAGAGTCGTTTGGTATATGAAATGAAATAACAAGAATATTTTATAATTTGAGATATTTTATCTTTTGTGTGAAATAACTAATTTAATCATTTAATACAAATGATGATATTAAGTAATTTATGAATTAATTAATATCCATATAAAATAGTCATGTGTTCTAGCCTAGAGATGTTATTTGTATCCCTCGTATCAAACAAATCCATCAAGGAACCTTTGATATAATACACAAGCATAAATTGTTCTAAGATAAAAATTTAATACTAGCTTCACATTTGTTTGGTTATCAACCTAAGTATAACGTAAACATCAAAGTTAGACTATTTTATACTAATCAGATTGTGGAATTATAGTATTTGAATTAGTTATTTTCGGATAAATAATTAAACTGATAAAAATACTCTAATATTTCTACTAAATAAGATAGAGGATTTTTTTTTTGACAAACAACTTCTTAAAAATTATGTAATGTATCGGCATTTTTCATCTTTTTTATTTATTCCTGTGAGTCGTGAGATGAGTTATAGTGACTCACAAGGAATTATCATAGCAGCACTAGAGGGATTTATCTGCATGCACTAGGATTAATTAATTATACTAGGAGAGAATAATATCAATTAAAGTTTATAAAAAGAGATGAATATTCTTAATTATCTGTAACTTCAGTTGTTGTCTGCTGTTTGCAAAAAGGACAAAAGAGTATTATGCAAAATGTCTTCTTTTTGAAGCATTTAGGCATTTGGCAATGACAATTGACAAGTGTGTTGGACCTTCTTCTTTCATTTTCTCCTTCACATTCATTCACAATTTTCTATATTTGTAATCTATAGACTATACTTAATATTAGCTACTATAGTGCCTATTTGTTTGCTAACTTGGATTCTTCCCTTTCAAATAGTAGTACTCAAAAGTTTCTCTTTTGTCCTTTTCAATCCTCACCCAAAATCTTATACAACTCAGCCAAGAATCTATCAACCTTTTTACTCCACAAGATAATAGGAAGAGGTTAGAAATGTCTTTTTTTTACCTATTGGTTTCAAAATATCATTAACGTATAGAAACGATTCAAAAATACTCTCTTTCCACTTATTGGATAAAAAATGCCCCTAACCTATTAGAAATAGTTCAAATTTACCTCTTAATATTTTTAGAATATTTTAAAAAATTCTTTTATCCTTCAAATTTGAATAAATGAATTTCAATTTTTAAATTCATTTTACTTCTATTAGCATCTTATTTATATAGTTTTTTTTTCATTATCTAACAATTTTAGTCTTTTAAACTTACTTTATGCTAATTAAGTGATATTGTATTTACACTCCGAAAAAAATTCAACAAAAATTATGTTACTATGGGCATAATGAAATTCCTCTTTCTCCATGACTAAGACAAAGTTTTTATACAACATATATTTGGGTTAATTTACACGTTAGTTCATAAAAGCAAATACTTATATTCGTAAGACAAACATTTAGACAAACAAGCAAGCATTTTTCAAAAAACTAAAATACAAATCAAAAGAAAACTAAATAATTGTTAAAGTACAGTAAAAAAAATTATTGACATGTATTATGAGAATTAGGAAATATTTTGAGTCATTTAATATGTTAAGGGAACTTTTAATCTAATAGGCAGAAGGAAGGGCAAATTTGAATCATTCTAATATATTAAGGGTATTTTGATCCAATAGGTGAAAGGAGGACATTTTTTGAACCATTTCTAAATACATTAAGGGCGTTTAGGTGGAAGAAAGAGCAAGTTTGACCCTGTAGAGAGGGCATTTTTGAACGATTTCTAAAATGTTAAGGGTATTTTTGATCTTTTTCCCTAGGAATTAAGTCTATGTACATTCTAATATTCAGACTTCATGTGAGATTATATTGTTATAGCCCAAATTCTTATACACAGAAAAAACAAAACCTTGCCATAAGTGTTTGTTTGTAAATAACAATAATAACATACTCATTGAGATCACACTTGTAGAGGTAGAGAGATTGTTTCAGAAAGACTATCACCTCTAGTACATCAAACCCAAATAAAGAAAGAAGAAAATAATGAAAAAGCATATCAATTAATAAGAAAAGTAGTGTGGAGTCTGCAAGAGGTAGCGGGATATATATTCGAAAGAAATGGAAAAATAAAATACTCCCCGGTTTCAATTTGATTAACCTATTTTAACTTGACATAAAGTTTAAGAAAGTAAAGAAGATTTTTAAATTTTGTGATCTAAAATTAAAGATACGTAGAATGTAACAAAATGTCATTTAATCTTGTGGCCTTAAACATGTCATGTGTTAAGTTGGAATTAAAAGTTATTAAAAAAAATACGTTTTCTTTTTAAACTAACTGAAAGAAAAAACGAAACAAACAAATTGAAATGGAGAAAAAACTACATTTTTTTCATAACAAGCTAAGATTGGGGCTTAATTATGCATCTTTGGGGTGCCCACAAGGTCGAAAAACATGTACTAAGATAAATATGTGATTCGTTTAGATCATGAGCTGACACAAAAATAAAAACAAAAAATGAATGCTAACGATAATTTTTAACCTAAATGGCAGGTTGATTTTTTTAATTTATCTCAGATACTTCAGAAAATAGGGTCACATGAGGGCATGTGAGATGTCTCTTTGGGGACCCTTTCTTCTGTTTTTACTCTCTATATTAAGTCACAGTCCTCTTTATTTTGGGACCTCTTGTTGATTTAAGGACTATTATATCCTCATGAATTGAATGTTTCTGAACTTGTACATCTAGTGCATGCTGTTTTAAATGAACATTATAATAAATATAATTACAATGGAGATCTTTTCACAAATATGTCACAACAATATATCTTTTTGTTTCACTAACACTTACTTAAAATAATGTCTGCTAGGCCTTTTTCTTTCACTCTCATGGCAATTAAAATCTTTTAACCCTACTACGAGCTACTACTATCAATTAGAATAGGAAAAATTGTATATAATAGCAAACTATTAATTCAAATTAAATGCTATAAATATACTTTGATTTAATTGTAACCTATAGCAAACTATTGCTATTTTCGCCACTCTCCCTGGTGGAATCTCGCTCGCCACTCTCGTTTGGTGGCAGTCTCGCTCGCCCTCTCTCGCTTTTATACAAACACAAATGTATAAAATGTGTTTGTGTTTGTATAAAGCGAGAGAAAATTGTATATATACATATATTTTCGTTCCCCTCTCCCAAATCTCGCTCGCCACTCTCCCAAATCTCGCTCGCCATCCTCGCCTCTCTTGCTTATACAAACAAAAACGAAATGTATAAATTGCACTTCTGTTTGTATAAAGCGAGAGAAAATTGTATATACACATGCAAATACATATATCTTCATCCTATACACTATAATTATACAATACAAATATTTTCCTGCCCAGTTTTCTTTTACCTCTCTCTCTTTCTCGTTTTATACATACACAGATTAGACAATTGATCTTTTGTATACAACTGCTTT